CGTTTGTGCATTGCGTGTGAGAGACTTTAGCTAAGGATGTGTGCGCGCGTGTGTTTCGATTCCAGCCATCGAGCCGCGTGTTGGTGTGCAGTGTACTTTGCCCATCTCCATCCTCTGTTTACTGTGGAGTTTTTTTTACCCTTCCAACTCTGCCGCTGCTCTTGTTGAAAGGGGAGGTGGGGTGTGGGGCAGCATTTTAACTTCTCAAGTGGTGGTGGCCCTTGTGCGCCAGGTCTACACATTCCGGGGCGAGTCCGAGTTCAACTTTGGAAGGAGAGAGAAAGAGTTGGTCCAATTGAGTATGTTAATGTATAAACTATTTTTATTTTATTTTACCAGGTAAGGCTCACTGAGCTACGTCGCTCTTTTTCAGAAGCGCCTTGGCTAGAACAAAAATATATACAGTATATAGCTCAACTAAATGGCTCGTGAAGTGGAAATGTATAGCAGACACATACTCTAAACGCATGATTTTAATTCTAAATGTGGAGGGAAGACACGGAGAAAATCCACGCGACCACGGGGAGAGAGACGCGCAAACTCCAAATAAACAGCAGGCGCCAGGGTCGGAATCGAATCCACGACCCCCTGTATACCGGGCGAGGTAGTTAACATTTCGCCACCGCAGCGCCCCTGTGAGGTTAAACTTCATGGATATACCGAACGGGTTTTCGTGAATACAAATTTTCCATAGCGTGCATTGCAATGCCATCGCCGGGTTCGGACTTAGATGCAAAGTAAGAGGAACCGAGGAGTGAACTTTCTGCTCCAGCAGTGGATTGACAGAGAAGCTGTTACAGGCTAGGATTGAAATCAAAGTGTACGTCACCAATTATATATTATTTTTCTCCCTTAAAAGACCACGGCACTGTTGTAAGACCCGGGACGTCACCTATTATATATTTTCATCCCTTTAAAGGTCACAGTGTTATTGTGAACGTGTTGAGTATTTTCGGAGGCGAATTTTGCTTGTGCACAACTGCCCGACGCAGTAGCATCACCAAATAAATTAGTTTCGTCTAAAGTTAAGTCAGTTAATTTTCATAATCCAGTATCCAATTGTTTTTTTGTGTGAAAGCTACTGCCGCGTAGTGATTTACGCCTTCACTTTTACTGCAACGTACTGATCGGCATCGATCATCATGAGTCCTAGTATATCCACTGCTGGATGAAGGCCCTCTCCGAGCCATCGCTGGCCCACACGGTCCTGCTATGCCACCAAAATCCATCTCGCTCCTGCCCATTGAGCCGATCACAGATTCCTTCTCATTGCAACTGCAATGAGAAGGAATCTGTCACGTGTACGTCGATTATTTCCACTTTAAAACGCATTCTGCAAAGGATTCGAGCGAGGTTTATTCTGTTCGTGACTAGCATAGGCGTTTCAGGAGGACGTGCACATTTAGATTCGTCCATTCTATTTGGCACAACTAATTTTGTTGATAACAATGAAGGCATTCATTTGAAAATTGATACACGTGGTGTCGGATTGAACCCGGCAGTATTTATTTGGCTGAACCTAAACCCTGTAAAGCTAAAGAGGGTTTACGAATTCTCACTGGATATGTTGCGAGTGGCTTGGAGACACTGGGATAGGAGGCACGTGACCACAGTGCTGGGCACCTGTGAAAAAAAAGCTTCATAGCTCATCGGATTCCTCCAGTATAAATACATATCATGATTATGATATTTTGATTCTGAGAGGTATACTGGATATGGTGGTGTTCTGGGTGTGGAAATGTTTTATCCGGGCCGCTTACCACGACGGACCTGACTGAAATGAAGCCCTGCCCTTGTGACTATTGTTCTGCGTACCGAGTGCCACACTAAGCCTCAGTTCGAACCTATACCCAGGTTTGGGGGGTGGGGGGTGGTGTTGTGTTTTGCCTCGACAGTGTGTGAGTTCCAGTGCCGCCAGGTCACCCCCAACATTCCGGGCCACATTCCGAGCCTGCCCGAGTTTCATCACCGCGTGGGTTAATGTACCGGAGAGACGTCGTGACGGCAGGCATAGGCAACTCATTCATCGAGAAAGAACAAACGGGAACGCATTCGCTGTTCGCCGGCACACGCTTACATCGTCATTATGCAGTAGGGACGTGGGGGTGTGAGTATGGAAGGGAACGTATGGGGGAGCGGTAGTGCAGCGGTCAGCGCTACGAACCCCGGCGAGCCGGGTTCGATTCCCGCTCACGGCCAACACCAGTGGCGATTATCTGAACCCGTCAAGGGCCTCTCCTAGGTCGACTCGGCCTCAAATGAGTACCTGGTGCGTTGTGTGTGAAAGCATCGCCACTGGGGAGACAAAGGTGGCGTGGTGCTGGCCACACCCCCCCCCCCACCCCCTCGTGTGCCGTGCCGGCCTTCATAGGTGCTCGCTAGTAACACTTGCCCCAACAATCTGTAAAGGCTATGCGGGTGATCCTTGTCTTTGTTATGTTAACGTCCGTGCTTGGCTGTGTGTCGACCCAGCATTACATCAATGAGTTTCTGCTGCGGTATGTAAATATCAGCAGTGGGGAGACAAAGGCGGACGGGCGTGCGTGGTACTGCGGGTACCAGCAATTGACCCAACTGCCTTTATCGTCATTAGACCTCCTTTGACAGTACCAAAATATAATACTGTAATAGGGTTTTTCCCCTTTTTTCTGGCAACAAAACTGAAACCTTTTTACAAGGAATCGTGTCTTCATTAACCACGATACTCGTGGTCAAAATGCAAACAAAAGACACACTCTGATAATATATGGCATTGTCCTTGAACCGGAATGGTCTATACCAGAGACGGCTTTCTTTTGAGCCTCGTCTCAATTGGTGCTAGACCAGAGGACGCCAATACTGGTGTCTGTGTGTGTGTAAGTGTGTGTGGGGAGCGGTAGTGTAGCGGTTAGCGCGCTGCGCTATGAACCTGGCGACCCGGGTTCGATTCCCGCTCACGGCCAACACAAGTGACGATTATCTGAACCGGTCCCGGGCCTCCCCTAGGTCGACTCAGCCTCAAATGAGTACCTGGTGCGGTGTGTAAACATCGCGACTAGAGAGACAAAGGCGGTCGGGCGTGGTGCTGGCCACCCACCCCCTCGTGTACCGTTCCGGCCGTCATAGGTGCTCGCTAACAGCACTTGCCCCTACAGTCTGTTAAGGCTATATGGGGGATCTTTGGTGAGTTCGATTCCCGCTCACGGCCAGCACCAGTGGCGATGATCTGAACCAGTCTTGGGCCTCCCCTATAGGTCGACTCAGCCTCTAATGAGTAACCTGGTGCAATGTATAAACATCGTCACTGGGGAGACAAAGGCGGCCGGTGCTGGCCACCCACTTGCCCCAACAGTCTATTCAGGCTATACGGGGATCTTTGTCTTTGTATGTGACAAAGAGCACTTAAGATGCAGTTCTCCAGGAACTGTGGATGATTTTTGCATAATGCACAAAGGCCGAGTGCTTTTTCTACAAGTTTTCTGTATGTTGTGTGCGTGTGTGGGTGGAGGGAACGGTGGTGCAATGGTTGGCACACTGCGCTATGAACCCAGCGAGCCGAATTCGATTCGCTACCACGGGGACCGTCAGTGGCGAATTTCTGAACCTGTCCTGGGCCTCCCCTACGTAGGCTCAGACGTGAATCCTGGCCACACCAGCGTACTGTACCTCTATAATCCAAAATAACTTTTCAACATGTGTGTGTTAAATACAGTACGTTTACACAATGCCAAGGGGGGGGGGGGGGGAACTGGACTACATTTAAACAAACTGCAGAATAGGGGCAGGAAATCTTATCTTGTGATAATAAACAGGGAACGGACGACGGGAGTAAGTTTCAGCTTCATGCCTAAGGGCGTTCAGTCAATATTGACCAGCCCATGCAAAATCAATGAAGCGTACATTGTACTCTACTGTGTGTCCTTTTATATGTTCACCCACAGGCCTCCCACCCTCCCCTTGTCAATGCAATTCTCACGAGGACCTCGCACGCCACCGCGGGTCGTGGGGGTTATTTGACCATATTTCACCGCGCTGGTGATCGTGTAAAAAAAGGTGTTATTAAGGAAGGGCCATTGCCCAAAGTTGTGACTGTTTTTTTAAAATATATATCTATATATTTCCCCATTCAAGTCGGGGTGTTATTGAATTAATTTGTTGCATTTATTGAATTAATTTGTTGCATTTATTGAATTAATTTGTTCAATGAATATTGAATGAATTCGTTGAATTCATTTGTTATCTGTGTTTGTGCACCACTGCCAATGCAGCAGCAGCAGAAATTAATGTCTTATACTATACAGTCTTATAATAAAAACCCTACGTTTTGCTGGCTGATTGGAGGGAGGTAGAGAGGGAGGGAGGGATGTACAGACGGTCACATCCAAAGAACGTGCAGATTATGATGAGATTATGATGATGATGATGAGATTATGATGATGAGATTATGATGACGTCATGATTGAGAGTGTCCATCAATCAGTGGCCAATCGGCTAAAATCGTCCCCATTGTAATCCCCATCAGCTGCGGCGAAGGTGATGATTTGAAGACACCCGGTCCCGGATCTGTGGCTCAAACCAGCCAGGAATATGATGCCCGTGAGTATGAAACAGTCTCTGAGATTCGTTCGTTCACCGGTTCATTCATATGTTGGCAGCTGACCCGTCCCTCATTTTATTTTATTTTTTGTTCACGGGGGGGGGGGCGGGGAGGCAAAGCTCATTGAGCTTTAAAAGCTGTTTTTCAAGGTTGACCCCGAGTGGGGGAGGGGAGTGGGGTGTGGGTGGGGAGGGGTTAAAGGGGGATAGAGGAGAAAAAATGCAAAGCTATCTCAGAAATCAGCGTACATCCCAGCATATCATTGAAAAGCAAAGACGTTTAAGAGGGCTACTACACGTTGGGACATTCGGCATTAAAGTGTTCGTGTGAGCACAGCAGTTGCCATACGCGGGGACTATACTGAATCAAGTGTGGTCCAGCAATTGGAAGGCAGGGTTAGTGGAAAACACCGATCGTCACTTACCATACAACTCCCATCCCTGCCTCGTTGCGACACGGCGATATGGCAGTCGGACGTCTGAGTATTATCCCTTTTACCAACCAGCACTCACCACCGTGGTGAAGTATGGTCACACCAACACTGCGTGGAGAGGCCTTCTTCCAGCAACTGTGGATTGACCAAGGGCTGTTAAGTGAAGTCTATGACGTACCACAGATGATGATCATGGTTCAGCGCACTCTGAGACATGTCACATATGCTGATATTGATGGTGGCGATGATGCAGATGACATCCCGCACGACAATGATGACGGTGAGCAATCCTCCATAATAACGGTGATGATGAGTGATGTTGCAACCTCCATGACCAACCTTCATGCAGTAGTGTATAGACAAAGGGCTGTTCTTATTCTCGTGTGTATGGTAAAACAGTATGCTCAATGCAAATGTGGATATCCGTACACTATCGTGATGTAGACACATACGCCCAGGTATACTATAATGTTTTGCAAAGATTGTGCTATTGTCAATGTCGTAATGTCTCAGCGTTGTAGCTGTGAACGTCTCGGTCTGAGAGCCTTTCCTTTCTCTGCTTTGCCTTGCCCTCCTATAACCCACCCCCACCACACTCGACTCGACTGCCGAAATTGCTTGCAGCTGTGGGTGAAAATTAGACACATACACACAGACACACACACACAGACACACGCGCGCACGCACGCGCTCGCATATATATTCTATAGATGCCACAGGCAGGGTCTACGACTGCCAAGCCTCCGACAACAACAACAAAGAACCACCCAGTAGTCCGTCGCTCCGCTCTTGACGGCACGAGGCAGCAGAGCGATGTCGGAGGCGCGTGCAGAGTGGCGACGGTCAATTTTCGTCACCGGCCACGCTCAATGCACTGTTGGATGAAATGCCTCCCCTAGCCGCCTCCAGCCTCTCAAGATCCTGCAACTTGTTTAGTAAAGGCTTGTTTTTTGTTTGTTTGTTATTACACATGTGCATAGGTTTAACACACACGAGCACACGTGAGTATACAACAGGCAACGAACCCACATTTAGGATTTTTTTTGTTAGGCTGTTGGGGCAAGTCGCTGTGAGCTAACAAATAACTTGCACAGTACACACAGACACAGTACACACACACAGTACACCCAGCACACATACACCCAGCGCATATCTTCCTGACATTTCTCCCGGCCGTGTATATATTTTAATTCATTTTCTCGCGAGAAAACATTGCAAATACTACTCCCAGGATAATTAGCGTAATTGCTCGTTGCTGCCTGGGACGGATAATTGATTGTTGTCATCATCATTATTATTGTTGTTTGCTTGGGTGGGTGGCTGGTTGGATGGTAACATTTTTGGACCCTGCGGAGGTGGTGGTAGTTGTGGTGGTGGTAGTTGGTGTGGTGGGATTCGGTCTCGATAGCAATTTATTTCTAGATTTTTTTCAAACTAAATTATTTTTTAATCTATCTATGAAGAACAACCATTCGAATAGCAAGGGTTTTTATTTTTTGTTGGGGGGGGGGGGCGTGGGGTGTGAGTCGGGGGGGGGAAATCGACCCCGAGAGGAGGAGGAGGAAGAGGGGGGGGGGTGAGTGGTGGGAGGCAGCGGTCGAGGGAGGGAGTGGATGACCGAGCGCCGGTCCCGAGGTCGTCCTCTGCACGCTGAGACCGCCTGGGCCCAGGTCGGGATGTCGAACCGGGGCTTGCGTCGTTCGCTGGAGGTGAAGTACCGCTTCAGGGAGAGGCCCGTGGTGGTGAGAGGCAAGGCGCAACAGGTATGCGAGCACGGATCCACAGGTGTGCACGGATACTCTGTTGCCGTCGCGAGTTTGACGGGGAAGCGCCATTCATCATCAAACACCGTCATTTTTTTATCATCATCATCAAACGCCGTCAATGTATTATTATTATCATCATCATCATCAAACATCATCATTGTATCAACATCGTCACTGGATCATCATCACCATCAAACATCGTCATTGTGGGGGGTTGTGTTTACGGTAATGCGCCGCTCATCATTAACATCATCACTGGATCATCATCGTCATTGTGGAGGATTGTGTTTACCGCATATTCATCAAGAGGGGGGTGGGGGGTGACGTGTTCATCATCATCATCATTGCATATCAATTCGAGTGCACTAAAGCATCATCATGGTAATTATTATATGTGGTACATAGCATATCTGGTGCTTTGCTTACAAAGTCTTGGTCGATCCACTGCTGGATGAAGGATTTCCCTCGTGCCGTTTGGGTAATTAATGGGTTACTTGACCATACTTCACCACGCTGGTCAGTGCGGGTTGGTGAAGGGTGCAGAGCGCAAGACGGGTTCCGACGTCACTTCGTTTAGCCGCACGTGACCGGGAATCGAACTGGGGTGGAAGCCGGGTTCACAGCTGTTATGTTAACCTCTGCGTGATCCCCACCACCCCGGAATATCACTCGGAGGGCTAAAACATCATCATTGATGTGCTGTATCGTGCAGAATAACAGGACGACATCGTTCAGAGTCTATTATACAGATCGGTGCATAGCTCAACGGAATACGCAGTGCAGTATACTTCGCGGTCGGCATACCTTTGGTATTCTGACCATCACGCACCTCCGATTAGCACGGTTGACTTTGTACGGTGCGAAAGAAGTTCAACGTAGGCACATAATGCGGGGAAGAACTCAGGCCGGAGATGGCAGCGGTGGCGATCTACCTGCAAGAGTGGTCCTCGAAGGACGTTGTCGATTGTGACGAGGAAATCTAGAGCCAGAGGCTGGTGTGGTGATGGTGACGAGACAGCAAGTGTGGCCCAAGGAGGGAGCGCACCGTTTTTCACGGCCTTCCCACGCACCGACACTTAAGTACGGTTGGCTACATACGGGGCGGAAGAAGTTCTACGTACGTACGTATCACGTGAGCGCGGTGTAGACGGGGAAGATTTAAAGCCATATGATGGTGGTGGTGATGATGATGATGAGACAAACAGCGATCTCTGAAGGCCCTGTGTATAACAAGCGTTTCCATGATATGAGCTTTTGCTAAACAGGAGGGTTGGTAATTACACGCGTGGCTTCTGCGGAGGAGACAATGGGAGCTGGAAGCCGTGTTTGTGTCTGGCATTAAATATGCATGGAACCTAAATTCAGGTCAAATATGCATTGAGTTTATGATTATCCTATTTGTGTTTAAGGCTTTGAATGGGCTTGCACCATCATGCATCCAGAAATTGATCCAGCTACACTGCTACACACTGTACGATCCAGTCACACCATATCCAGCCACTCACTCCACTACCCAGCCACACACTCCACTACCCAGCCAGACACTCCACTACCCAGCCACACACTCCACTACCCAGCCACACACTCCACTACCCAGCCACACACTCCACTACCCAGGCACACACTCCACTACCCAGCCACACACTCCACTACCCAGGCACAGACTCCACTACCCAGCCACACACTCCACTACCCAGCCACACACTCCACTACCCAGCCACACACTCCACTACCCAGCCACACACTTCACTACCCAGCCACACACTCCACTACCCATCCACACACTCCACTACCCAGCCTCACGCACCACTACCCAGCCACACACTCCACTACCCAGCCACACACTCCACTACCTAGCCACACACTCCACTACCCAGCCACACACTCCACTACCCAGCCACACGCTCCACTACCCAGCCACACACTCCACTACCCAGCCACACGCTCCACTACCCAGCCTCACACTCCACTACCCAGCAACACACTCCACTACCCAGCCACACACTCCACTACCCAGCCACACGCTCCACTACCCAGCCACACACTCCACTACCCAGCCACACGCTCCACTACCCAGCCACACACTCCACTACCCAGCCACACGCTCCACTACCCAGCCACACACACCACTACCCAGCAACACACTCCACTACCCAGCCACACACTCCACTACCCAGCCACACACTCCACTACCCAGCCACACACTCCACTACCTAGCCACACACTTCACTACGCAGCCACACACTCCACTACCCAGCCACACACTCCACTACCCAGCCACACACCCCACTACCTAGCCACACACTTCACTACGCAGCCACACACTCCACTACCGAGCCACACACTCCACTACCCAGCCACACACTCCTCTACCCAGCCACACGCTTCACAGGGATCTCTGAGATACACCGATCGTGCCCTGCTCCGCCTAATTGCCCTCCAGGCTCCGAACCTGGGGGTGACCACTGGTATTTTGTCCACACGGTGCCCAGCCCCTGGAAATCCCTGCCCTTGGAGGACAGGGACTCGCAGTCGTTGGAGACTGAAGACCCCATCGGATGAACCCCATCAGCTGTTTAATATGGCCTCTAGTCCTCTATCGGGTCTCGTTCGTCTTTCTCTCGCAGGTTACTTCTCACTTACATTCTTCCTTCGCACGCATGGTGCCCTGAGACCCATTGTTTAAGGACCCCTTATTATTCTTAATTTGTATGACACATTTCGGCTTGTCACAAATTAGGTCCTGCACAGAATGCTACTTATTAATATATCTCTATGAATCAATTTCTGAGTGTGTGTGTGTAATCCTATTTATGATTATATGTATGTGCCATTGCCAAAAACGTCGCCTATGATATATTTTCTTACAAGGCCACTGTGTTATTGACAAATGTGTGGAGTTTTTATTGTTGTGTCACGTACTGCCTTTCTCATTTGTACTGCCATGTGAGTACCCTGAATTCTAGAGCTAACATTAGGGGGATCGCCTTATAATTCAGTAGGCGTGTGTGCGAGTGTATGTTAGTGGTAGTGTAGCAGTTAGCATGCTGCACTACGAACTCAGCGACCTGAGTTCGACTTCCCGCTCACGGCGAACACCAGTGACGATTATCTGAACGTGTCGTGGGCCTCCCCTAGGTCGACTCTGCCTCAAATGAGTACCTGGCGCAGTGTGTTAAACATCATCACTGGAGAGACAAAGGCGGCCGGGCGTGGTGCTGGCCACCCACCCCTTCGTGTGCCGTGCCGGCCTTCATAGGTGCTGCTCGCTAAAAGCACTTGCCTGAACAATCTGTTGAGGCTATACGGGAGGGTGTCTTTGTATGTGAGAGACCAGATTTCTTTCCACTTCTTTGACACCGGGAACAAGGTTGGGGCACGTCTTAATTTATTTCCCGAGCGTCTTATAATAATAATCCGGACAGTGCAGCAGTGCTGCTGTGTGACAATACTGTATTAATGAAACCCCGTGCATTTAAGCTTCTTCCTCGGCACTTTCTCACCATCTCTTATGCTGCGCCCAATGACGGATCTCCCGAGTTGTCCTTACACGGCTCATGGTCAAGGTTTAGCAGAGCGAAGGAGGGGGTGCGCAGCGGGCATTCCAAAGGATATGCTTCGTAGTAACTTGCCTTAATTATTTCCTCCGCCCTGAATAGTGCATAACAAATGAATCAACATTGCATGTGTAATACTTGCAATGTTGATTGCAATTTAATTAACGTTGCATGCATTACGGCACGTACATCCTAATCAAATCATTCCGAATGCATCTCATATCTCTCTTCTCTTTTCAGACATTGTA